TTGCACAGGATATCACCAAACAGCCGAGAATCTCACTACTTATCTCAGTACTTTCCATGACAATGAAACATTCAACAACATCCTTGTTCTTCTGCCTTGCTGGGGTTCTTGGACTCCCGGGAGTACTTGATGGTCATTGTCAAGATAATGTGCACCTGAGTGCTTAGCCATCAGTTCGAAGTGTGAAGGCCAAGAAAAGATGCATGCACCACTTTGAGTTTGTGCACACCGCTTACCAATGAAAAACTATGAAAGACCGCTATAGTCATTATTGTGTTTTTCACAGGTGATGCAGTCTCACTTCCAGGACCAGACCGGAGCTCACAAGATCTACGTCGCGGGGCGTCTAACCGCTGCGAGCCCAAAGTGCAGGCAGCTCTCTCCAGGTCAGGTTTGTGATGTGCCTACTGTATGTTAATCAACAACTGGACGATAAAAACCGAACACTTTGAGTATGTTCCCAAACACATGTCATCAAACCTGTAAGCGAGCTTCCAAGGGTGTCATGTGTTGGAACTGTCCAAAAAGCAGCGAACGATTGGTGAAAAGCAATGGAGGTTATGCAACCATGCTTTTGCAGAGACTTGTGTCGTTCTGCCTGTGAAAGTGCTCCAACTTTCCAGGGCACGTCTGTAATTGTCGGCCGCAGGTTAGCACAAGCATTCAAGGATACGACGCCCGCCTCATCATTGCAGCTCTATCATGAATCATATTTTTATAAATCAACAATCTGCAAAGGGGATAGCCTTGGCCACGTCATGCAGGATTTTTCTCAACTGTTGACCTAGACTTCAACTAGATCAACTGGTCATAAATGGTGACAGCTGGACAATGCCTGAAAGGAAGGCCAATTTCCCAAGTCCAATCAGGGGTGTTGCGGATTGCCCGTGCCCATAGTGACACGTGTCAGTTGTATCTTTCAGAAGGCAAACGCCACTCCCTGTCTGCACTGTCTGCTGAAAATTGCCTTTGGCATGAAGGGGTATCAACATCTGAGACCTCTTCATCCGCTAGGGCCGCCAGGGCACAGGTCCAGGTGATGGAGTAGCTGAGTAGCGAGGCAAGCAAATTCCCTGAACAACTACATTGGTCCTTCCATACCTTCGCGTGCTTGCCAACACCTCGTCCTTGTTGAAATCCCGTCGCAATAGATGCCTCTTGGATCCAGGTCTGCTTCTCGGTGCGCTGGGTGCCTCTTGGTTCGGGGGTCGGGTTCTCCGTCCTTCAGGTCTTGTCCTGTCTTCTTCGTCTTTGGGTTCTCTTAAAATTTGTCCACTTGCATATGAATGTGGCAGAGCGTCCACTCATTGAAAATGAAGTCATTCGTCCACTTGTGCTTGGTCGCTCACAGGTTGCGTGTTTTCCTTTTCGTCTTCGTGTTCTCCCTGTCTTTTCCTCCTCCTCTTCTTCCTCCTTCCTGTTTCCCATGACTCGAAAGGTCCACTGCAACTCGGAACTACTCTTTCATTTTGGAATGTTTGTAGAAATGGCCGCTCCTTTTTTTTTGCACGAGTTCGAGCCGCCATTCATGCAGGAAGTGCACAGGTCAGCTTGTGCAACTTTTGTAGAGTCTCCAGCATGAGAGGGGGCCAATCAACCAAACAAAACAAACAAAAACACAAAACCAAACAACGCCCCAAAACCAAACAAAACCGACAAAGAAAAGCACAATGATGGAGACTCTTGGATGTACATGCAAGGGTGAAACAGAAATTGGGCAATGAATTACTGCAAAAGGCCACCAGATGGGCTATCCGAAATGCGGTTCGAAGTGATTGCTGGCAACGTCAATGACACTTGGTCTAGAGGCATGTTTAAGAAATGGCCGCTCCTTTTGTAAGCTGCAAGAGGCTGAAGTGTTTACGTGTACGTGTTGTACGCATGCTTGCACCCCCCTTCTGGGCCAAACGTCGACAAAAGGTGTCCACGTGGAAACCTGCCGACCTTCCAAATAGAAGACCTTATTGAACTTTTTTGCAATGAAGTTCACCTGGATCTATTGCTCCTTTGTCTCCACAGTCCATGGTGTCCATCTCATTGGGTCTTGTTCGTCCCTTGCTCCTTCAGCATGTTGCATCATGATCAGGGCCGCGATCACTGTCTTCTTGTTGAACTGGCTCGCCATGCTCACAGCATTCACGGTCTGCTTCTCCTGACAGTGCGCCTCATCCATTCAGCAGTGCCCGCAGCCCACCACTTCTGCGCCCCAAAACAGGGGCCGCTTTGTCGGAAATCTTTTTGTCACCAGGTGAAAATAGCACAAGTTTCTGCAGGCACTGGGTTTCCATGTTTTGCAGCGCTGCGAGTGCTTGTTCTCCACACCCCTTTTGCACGATTCGAGCCGCCATTCATGCAGAAAGTGCACAGGTCAGCTTGCGCAGTATTTGGAAGAGTCTTCTCAGTGAAAAGGGGCCAAAACAAAACAAAAAGACACACGAGGCAGGAGACTCTTGAAAGTATCTTGAATGTACACGCATGGGTGAAACAGAATCAAACAGAGCTTTGGGCAATGAATTAGAGCAAAAAGGCCACGAGATTGGCCATCCGAGATGCGGTACGAAATGCTTGCTGGCACGTAATGACACTTGGTCAATAGGCCTGCTTGAGCAGGCCATGTCATCGAGCACTAATGAGCTGTGTTCTCTGCACTCAGTGGAATGGCAGTCGAAGAAAGCACTTGAAGAGGCGCGGGCAACCTAATCGGGCAAAGTGTAACAAACTGCACATGAGACAGAGTGTATTCAACGAAAAGGTGCATATGTCCTCATCTGCTCAAATTTCTGGCCCTGGAAAATCACAATTGACAAGCCAGCTCAAACGCGCCAAGCGAGAGAGCACATCATTGCGCGGCCTTTTGTTGCAGGAGCGTCCGAAGACTCCTGCAACCTCCCTCCACTGGAGTGAGAGAGGTGATGCCACCCCGCGCAGTGTATGACGCCATCATCGCTTTGTGCCAATGCATTGGAGTTGTTCTTTTGCCACTCATGAGTTTAAGTTGCCAGCTGCCCGCAATCAAAGAAGGCCTTGTGGGCGATGTACCGAAGTGCGGGATGTCCACTTCTACACCACAGCACATGAAAGCTTCTATGTGAATTTGCTGCAGTGTGTACGGCAGATGTGCTGAAGACTCACACAATGTGAGAAAGTGGATCTCGCTGAACAGATCGACAAAGGCAAGTCGTTTGCAGTTTTCAAAGGCTTGAGGCCCCAGGAAGTTAACTTCCGATGGAGTTTGAGGCAATCCAGTCCCGGTGATTTTTGCACGGGTGGAGCCGCCGTACGTGCAGGAAGTGCACAGGTCAGCTTGCGCTGTTTTTTTATGAGTCTCTTGCATAGCTCTTGCATAGAAGGAAGCAACAGACAGAACCAACCCAACACAACACCCACAGAACACCACAAAACAAAGAAGGGACTCATCTTTGTACATGCATAAGTGAGACCAGAGTGAAACAGTGACACTGCTGTGCTATTATTGTGGTTGGGCAATGAATTATGGCAAGAGGGTCGAATGCGATCGAATGCAATGTAGACGCTTGCAGTTGAGACTGGGAAGGACGAAAGGCCTGGCGTGGCAGGTCTGTGCATTGAGCACAATTGAAAGGAGTGCTCATTGTGCTCGTCGTGACTCTGGGGTAGCTGGAGGACGATTGCAAGCTACCCTGTTGTTCTACTGCGAAGCTAGAGTGCGAATGTCGAGAGGGCGCAAGTCCGGCCGTGGAAAGCAGTGAGGTGTTCAGTCTCTAGCGTGACAAACAAAAGAGCACCGGGCCTTCACAGTCGCTTGCATTCTGTGTGGTTGGATGACAGTCTCCATGGTAGAGATGGATCCGTTATGGGCATTTTTTCCACGAGTGCGGACGCCGTGTGGGCGGTGTGCCCAGGTCATCATGAGAAGTATGGAGACGCTGCAAGTTGGTGGGGGAAGAGAAACAAGAACCAAACACAACCAAACCCCAAAAACCAACACCCAAACAACAACAAAACAGCAAAGGCCCCCACACCAATGTAGGCAGTGTTTCCTCTGTACTAGGTGAGACAGGTGAAAGTTGACGAGCTGCAAAATACCTACGGGCCTGAATTCACTACGAAAGGCAAAATGCTTCTGATCGTGGGCGGTTGTTCTGATCGGCCAATCAAAGGTGGCATCTCTCCATTGGCAAGGATGAGATCATCCAAGCCGCATTTGGTCACTGGCACTAAGGTTATTTTGACTTCTTGCAAGGTGCCAGGTGTAATGTCAGCAGTAAAACGATGACAAATGCCAAAAAGTCATCAGTTGCAAAGCTTAGCGAGCCATGGAAAAATCCCTCTCCGTAGCACAACCCATATTACTGACTGCGCGTACGAAAAGCAGAGGCTCATCTTGAGTGTGGCAGTGAAAGGTATTGCAGCAAAGGAACTGCTAGAACTGGTGCTGATTTGAGATGGATCCGTTATGGGCAAATCAGTTGCTGCAACAGACCTCCCTCCAGGAGGAGCATAACAGCCAAGCCTACAGGAGTGTACTTC